ACCCAAAATCCTGCAGTTTTCGCATTATTAACTCACCTTTAAGCAGGGGCAAGAAAACGATAGCGGGAGACGCTTTCAATTTTGGTTTGCGCCTCTTTGTTGGAATGGGGAGGGGGGAGACGTGAACCGGCAAGGGTCGTGGACTGTTCACACGGTCACGATTCAGTTCATTTCTTGAAGCCGACTAGCACTATTCAAGAAAACTGGCAACAAAAGAGTAAGCTGAGTCGTAATCGAATCCAACTATGTCTCCAAAAAAAAAACATTAGGCTGAAGAAGTGGTAGCTGCATGTTAAACGACGGCATCACCGTTGACGTTTGTCAGATGGCCTGGAGATATGGAGGAACTTTCGTAGCAATGCCGAGAATTCACTTGGAATAAGGAATATACCGGGGACTTCGTTTGTTCATTCCAACATTGAAGGATTACTTCAGGAACGTATATTCTTGAAACATCCCCAATAAGGGTAGTATCTCTTTCAGCAGTTTTTCTGGGAACAAGTTGCAGAATAATAAAAAATACTTTCGGTAAGAGCATTTATACACGTGAAAAATCATCGACGTCGGATCTGAAAAAACTAGAGCTGTTTACGTTTTAAGTTCATGACGAAAGCAACAGAGAGATGCAGACATGACAGATACCATATGTGCAAAACCAGAAATACATTTTATTATTTCATATATACAGGGTGACTTTGAAGTTGAGTCATTAATTTTCAGATAATGATTGTAGAAGGAAGATAAACCAAAATATGTGTGTAAAAATAAAAAAAATGTTACCTTGTTTTATAAAGTATCCTCCCGACAAGTATTTCAGTGCGGACCTGTATTTGATCGTGAGGTCTTGGAGCACCGGCATGCCGTCCCCTGTGAGGTCTTAAGTCACCTGATTCACGAGCCCTTTGTACTACATTAACAAAGGCACGAGGGGTTGGTTGCACTCGATTGGGAAACCGATCCGCATAAACATGTGCCATTTTTTATTTCGTTTGAGCCACGCAACAGACACCACTATTCACTCACGCGTTACCGACTGACACTGACTCTGTATACAACTGAATAAAATAATGGTAAAAACATCGTTCCAAATTCTTTCGCTTTTTTGTTTCCGATGCGATGAACCGATAAGGCGGATTATATCCATTGTTGCCAGACACGAGCACATAATATTATTATTATTGAGACAGGGCGGTACTCAAACTTCCAAAGGACTATAACTTTGTTACTTTAATTTTACCAGAAAAATGGTAAAGGAAAAAAACATTTCTTTTGATCAGATCTACTCACTGTTAAAATAAATGACTCAACTTCGAAGTCCCCTGTATTTCTCCCAAATCAATTAATAATTTTCTCTACAGATGATAAATAATTATTTTTTTCTAAAAAAGACAAAACTTCGTACTATTTCTTAATAATACTTAATAATTTTAAATTTTACTTCAGTTGAGGTTATGATTACAAGTCATGTAATTCTATGTACCAACAATAGCTCGGAACTAGTTCTAACCTGTACTTTCCTCAGTCATACGCAGAAAAATTATTTCCGAACTAGTTTGGAACTGCTATTTTTGTGTCGGAGGTTCATCATCGCCCACCTGATTTTCTTATACAGGGTGTCCGCAAAGTTGGGGTTTTCCTTTACACGACGTGTAGATCTTGAAAACATAAGCAATTTTTCTTAGTACCATATACACCAATGTCTTAAGGGCACCGAGATAAAGGGCTCTGCAACATCAAAAATATCTGAATACCGTCCTGTAGCCGCGACCCGCCGCGATATCCCAGACTGGTACAAGGTCTCAACCCGACGGCAGAACTGGGTCAGGGTCAGTGTGTCAGGTCAGTATGCAACCTTCAACCGACGGTTACGGTCACGCGTGTAGAGGTAATCGCGTAGACGAGAATCCCTCAACAAGCACTAGAGACGTGGCTAGAGAAGTGCAAGTATCAAAAACTAAAGTGTGGTAAACGCTGCGTGAAGAGGGGCTGTATCCGTTTCACGTCCAACGTGTACAAGCCCTTCAACCTGACGATTTTCCAGCAAGAGTGCGGTCTTGTGAGTGGTTGTTGCAACATGAAGTGGCTTATTTTCAACAAACATTTTCGGTGAATGTTTGGGCTGGCATGGTGAACGGTATGCTCATTGGACCATTTATTCTCCCAAATCGATTGGACGGGATGCAATACCTAGACTTTTTACGCAACATTTTGCCTTCCTTGTTTGCCTGCGTCTGCTCGGTAGCGCATCAGCTGATTTCATTTTCTGTTGGAGCGCATGATTTCGGGCAGAGACGTACTTAGCCCTTCTCGTCAACTGGAGAGTGAATACTTTTTTATTATTTTTTTTTACTTGGTCGCCCTCGTTTCACTACACATCACCTTTGTTATTTCAAGGGTAGTTTTTTCTGAAAAGGAAAACCCCAACTTTGCGGACACCCTGTGTATCGTAGAGCAGCAATTGATTGATGCCGGAGCCCTTCGCTGTCGTTTTGCCTCGAAGAAATCTTTGGATATAGACACCTGCTCCAAAAATAGCAGCGTTTCTATCTTCACAACGTGCAAAGGTTAAGGCAAACCGACAGAAAAGTTAGAAGAATCTTTTCTTATTTTCTAAACTGTTCAGGCAGGCCTGGATTCTGCTTGCCATGTTTTAATAGGTACCAATGTTAAGTAGCGCTGTGATCTTGCTCTTTTTTGTTTTCTTTTTGTAGTAATAAAGCTTTGAGCGAATCTCTCAGGATTAAAACTGCGATATCGTACAGTCTACGAAAACTAAAAGTTGGACTAAAAAACAAGCTTGAAACTGCTTCAAAATCAATTAATCTCAAAATACTCTTCAAGGTCTTGTAGAGCAAGGTTTTAGCTTCAACTTAGGCACTTGGAGAACCAAACATTTTTAAGCATTGAATATACCCGCAAATCGGATTTGTTTAAACCTTTTTTGAATAAATACGATTTCTGTACCCGGCCAAATTTTTTTCAGGTTTTTGGATCATTTCAAACAAAAAGGCTTCCATTGACAAAGTTATGATTTTTGAGGTTGCCAAGTACCAAATTAAAGTCTAAACCTTGCTTTACAAGACCCCGAAGAGTATTTTGAGATTATTTTATCGACACCGCCCCGCCCCTCCCTGCTGGCGCCATGTCTCCGGGTTAAATAATCCACAGTATCAAAAGGTGCTTATACAGGCTGATTAAGAGCAGTACCGTCACAAAGGTGTTTCATAGTTAGAACCGGAAACGTGTACAATCCCGTGAGGTATCGGAAACACGCAAAAACAATGACAATTCGTAATTATACAGGGTGCGGCAGAGAGGATGGACGGTTTTAAAAAAATCATAAAATAGTTAATTTTTACTCGAAAACAAATTTATTGATGGAATAAAGGTTCACAAGGAAATAGAATTTGAGACAGTCAAGTGTCTATATTTGAATAAAGATTTTTTGGTTCATTGTTTTTTCTGTCCCAGTTAAAAAAATGATTCTTCTGTTCTTTTCGAGCTATTGAGGTTAGAAAGTCACCTTTTCCTCATGTTCTAGGCCCTGTGTGATGAATGTCTTGTTAAGGTAGTTCTCATACTAGAACAGATCGTAAAACCTAAGATAGACATTTTGCTGGTTAATCAACCCTTAGATTTTACAGGGTGTCACATTTAAATTATTTCATATAAAAAATGTTTAAAATCATCAGAATCTCAAAATACAAAATTAAAAAGGATTTTTCATGAAAAATGTTTGGATCTGCTGTCATTTTCGCCCTGTATATTAAAAAATATTTTTTAAATTTATAATTTAACTTTCTTCTATTTCTTATAGTATCTATGGTAAATACACTTTTATCGAAACTTACTTTTTATGACGTTCATCTTTTTTCCCCTGTGGCCTTCAGTTGTAAAACGCCTCCTTGATTTTCATAGTATTTTCTCTCCTCGAGAAAGGCTGTGGTATTTCTAGACTTCTACTGTTCTACCTGTTCCTATTGCGAGGTTATGTTTTCTTTTGGAATCGCAGGAAATTTCAAGCTGATAAAACAGATGATAAAAATCAAAAGAACGCACAATTTGACGCAAATAGATATCTGTAACATAACCTCAAAATAGAGCGCCAACACGAAACAAGAAATGTTTCTAAAGGACAGAAAAAACTATGAAAATCAAGGAGGCCATAATGACAATTGTAGCAATGACTGACAATACGGGCCTAAGAGCCACCATACATCTATTATTAAGTGGGATAGTCACGCAATTTTGTATAATTCATTGAAAAACAAAAATAATAGCTTATATTTTCTCGTGACCCTTTCGCACTGCCGCTCCCATCCAAAGTGTGTCGAACTTTGTACATCCAGGACTGGCCGATACGACCGCTCCTTTATCCCTAGGGCATCGAGATTGTGGAACAGTCTACAAGATGAGACTTTAACAAGTTCTACTAGGCAGCGGATTAACAAAGTTTCTTAAGCGCCTCGTAGAACTAGAAATTATCACAGAATGTTTTCAGGGAGAAAGAAAAGAACGATTTTGGGAAAATTTCAATACAAAGGTTACTCTTATGCAACGAACTATATCAAAGGAGATCCACCTAAGAGGTTAGTACAGTAAATGCTGAGGACCTTTTGGCAACTCACCAGCATAATCTAGGCTTGGTTTCTGGGGCAACGAACTCACAAAATTTACGGAAACTTTTATGATTTCTAAACCTTTTTAAAATATGTTGTGAGGACAGTTGCTATCTTTTCGTTCGAAACCTAGTCTAAACCATGCCGATGAGCTGCCAAAAAGCACGAAACAGCCGTCCAGGTTAGCCGGTTGTTCAATTGCGAATAGACCACATCTACTATACCGCCAGAATCGTCAGCTTCTAGCGGTCATCGCAAGCTGCGATCTTTGCAGTTCCAACCGATAGCTACTGCACACTCTCGCAGTGTGCGATTCTGTTAATAGATAGCGCTTTGCGCTGTCTTATATTCTTCGAAAAATGTGCCTTTTTATCGTTTTGTAGATACATGCGATGTTGCATGGCCCCCAAGTTAGACTGTAAAGCACGTGCTATCAAGAGACTTGACAACGGGCATGTGTTCATAACGAACAACCATAACCATCCTGCGGATGCAGAGGAGGCCAACATTATGGACTTTTTGCATGATTTAAAGCAACTTTGCCAAAGCGGAGTGAATATGCGCCTAAAGGATATGTACAGTCGGGTCGCGGAAAGGTATGGATGAAAATTGATTTTAATGGGTCGAGTTGACAATCCAGATGTTAAAATCGGTCTAGGAGTTACGTGTGGAGGGGCCCGGGCCTCAGAATAAAAAATAGGTTACCTTATAAAGCCCCATGTGCGGTTGTTAAAAAAATATATATTCTTATAATGATTTTTATAATGATTATGGATTAATTGGAATTTGGGGTCTAAAGAAACAGTTTCCTGTTATATACCATAAAAAAATGTTGAAAAACTAACTACATGTATACTCTAATGAAGAATTTTAATAATAAAATCGAAGTAAAAGATACTTATTTTATTTAAAATCATCCATGAATTACATTACCAAGACAATAATTCCCAATATATACATACGAAAAAAAATGAAAAGGAAACAAAGCTAAAAGGATTAGATAGATATTAAAAAAACGAATAAACACTTCTTTCCGTGTTCGATTATCAGAAAAAGCCTCCTTATTCGCCTGATTTGAGACCTTGTGACTTTTTCCCTTCCCGAAGTTGAAAAATCACCCAAAGAGACAGTCGATAACATTCCAACGTTCCACGCCATTAATCTCATTACTTAATTTACACACCTCGTATGCTGGGAATTACTATCTTGTCAATCTAATTCGGGGATGCGTTTGAATAGCACTTTTTTATAATTTCGTAACCTTCGATTTTATTATTTAAATTGTTAATCCATGTACATGTAGCTTTGGTTTTTTAAACATTCTTTTTCTGTTCCGAAACATCGGCGACTTCATAACAGGAAACAGGGTTTCTTTAGATACCAAATTCCAATTAATCGCAAGGATTGGTTGGCTTACTAGATATCGAGACGCCAAATAAACATACAGTGTCAATTCGACTCGATCAGAGTTTTATTCTACTCAGAAGTGGGATTTGCAGTTACCCGAATGAAGCCAGAGTGAAGAGCTACGATAACATGAGGTCGTCGATGTCAAGATGGAAGAAACAAGCTCGGCTTACAGATGCTCCCACAGGTTCACAATAGCACATTTTCTTGTCGGATAAGTGAATATACACTACTCAAAAAAATAAGGGGGCAAGAAAAAAATCAAATTTTTTCGGTGATTTTTGATAGGTTGTTTTTTTGGTGCAATTCGAACAGATAGCGCAGATGCGATCAATTTTCCAAAACAAAGCAAAAAGTAGCTTTTTTGGCGTTTTTAAATTCAATACTGAGAAGAATTCCTCAAAGATTGCAATCAAATCTTATAGGAGATTTATTTCAGTTTTCGGAAATACGTTCTCTGTGCGATTATTGGTTACCGAAATATCAGTGGTTTATGACAAAAGGATTCTTTTGATTAAATGATCGTACCGAGATTTGCAAATTTTGAAAAAAAAAATTTCTTGTGCTATCTGTTAGAATTGCATGAGAACAGTTGCTCCTAAAATTTTTCGGCTGAAATACCTGAAAACTAGTATCTTAAAGCTACAAAATGCCATTTTAACAGTCTAGATACGACCATTTTTCACCTAAATACAGCCTGCCAAAGATCACCAAAAAATTTGGATTTTTTCTTGCTTCCTTAATTTTTTTAGTAGTGTATATTTTCAGACTCACATTCATTTCCAGATTAAGGAGGGAGGAAGGTTAAAAATGCATGTTTTCAAGGTTTTTTATGTCGATACGAACACTTAAAAACCAATAACTAAATTTTGAGTTATCATACATTCATAAAAAGAAACAAATGAAAACAAAATTAAATGCCTTACCCCCCCTCCCCTCCCCCTCTTACTACTCGAGCTTAAATAAGTAAAGTTAAAGTATACACGTTATTTTTTGTTGTATATCATTTTATTGTACATTTTTAATCTGTATCTTGTATTGTTAGAGATTATATTATTTTCAAGCTACTTTGAGCGTTTTGGTTGTTTCTCTTTATTTTGTGCGAAAAAACATCGATTGGAAAATATGTAAGATGTTACCTCTAACGAAAGTAATTTACAGATATAAAGGCTGAGGATCTGGTGCAAGCAATAAAAAGGAAACAGGACATGCCAAGATATATCGTCGATGGATTTGTTTTTCACGTGAATATCACTAAAGGAAACCCGCCTATGATGTAAGAGTCGTGCCATCTTAACTGAGCATTATTGAAATTTTACTGCAGAGTGGTAAATGCGAATTTCTCTATAGCAGACTATTTTTTTAAGATACAACTTGTTTTGGGGAATCATTTCCTTGGGGGTGAAAAATAATTTTTGTTTATAGTTTTTATCTGCCACACCTTCAGAATCTTTCTCATACCATGTCACCTAGCCTAACTGTCTCTATAATAGAGCATTTTTTTGAGGTACAACTCGTTTTGGGGAATCATTTCCTTGGGGGTGAAATTGAATTTTTGTTTATATTTCTTATCTGCCCACCCCTCCAGAAGCTTTCTCTCACCATGTCATCTACTCTATAAAATGTCTCTATAATAGAGCATTTTTTGAGGTACAACTCGTTTTGGGGAATCATTTCCTTGGGGGTGAAATTGAATTTTTGTTTATATTTCTTATCTGCCCACCCCTTCAGAAGCTTTCTCTCACCATGTCATGTACCCTATAAAATGTCTCTATAATAGAGCATTTTTTTGAGGCACAACTCGTTTTGGGGAATCATTTCCTTGAGGTTGAAATTGAATTTTTGTTTATATTTCTTATCTGCCCACCCCTTCAGAAGCTTTCTCTCACCATAGCATGTACCCTATAAAATGTCTCTATAATAGAGCACTTTTTTGAGGTACAACTCATTTTGGGGAATCATTTCCTTGGGGGTGAAATTGAATTTTTGTTTATATTTCTTATCTGCCCACCCCTTCAGAAGCTTTCTCTCACCATAGCATGTACCCTATAAAATGTCTCTATAATAGAGCATTTTTTTGAGGTACAACTCGTTTCGGGGAATCATTTCCTTGGGGGTAAAATTAATTTTCATTTATATTTTTTCATGTCATCCCCCAAAAGTTTCTCCACACAATGACATCTGGCCTATAAATTGCCTCTATAATAGAGCATTTTTTTGAGGTACAACTTGTTTCGGGGAATCATATCCTTGGGGGTGAAAATGAAATGAATTTTTATTTATATTTCTTATTTGCCCACTAGCAGAAGGTTTCTCTCACCATGTTACCTAGCCTATGAACTGCCTCAATAATAGAGCATTTTTTTTGAGGTACTACTTGTTTCGGGGAATCATTTCCTTGGGGTAAAATGAATTTTTATTTATATTTTTTCATGTCATCCCCCAAAAGTTTCTCCACACAATGACATCTAGCCTATAAATTGCCTCTATAATAGAGCATTTTTTTGAGGTACAACTTGTTTTGGGGAATAATTTCCTTGGGGGTGAAAATGAAATGAACTTTTATTTATATTTCTTATCTACCCACCTCTTCAGAAGCTTTCTCTCACCATGTCATCTAGCATATAAACTGTCTCTATAATAGAGCATTTTTTTGAGGTACAACTTGTTTCCGGGAATCATTTCCTTGGTGGTGAAAATGAAATGAATTTTTATTTATATTCCTTACTTGCCCACCAGCAGAAGCTTTCTCTCACCATGTCACCTAGCCTATAAATTGTCTCTATAATAGAGCATTTTTTTGAGGTACAACTCGTTTTGAGGAATCATTTCCTTGGGGGTAAAATGAATTTTTATTTATATTTTTTCATCTGACATCCCCCAAAAGTTTTTCCACACTATGACATCTAGCCTATAAACTGTCTCTATAATAGAGCATTTTTTTGAGGTACAACTCGTTTTGGGGAATCATTTCCTTGGGGCTAAAATTATTTTTTATTTATATTTTTTCATCTGTCATCCCCCAAAAGTTCCTCTACACAATGACATCTAGCCTATAAATTGCCTCTATAATTGAGCATTTTTTTGAGGTACAACTTGTTTTGGGGAATCATTTCCTTGGGGGTGAAAATGAAATGAATTTTTATTTATATTTCTTATCTGCCCACCAGCAGAAGCTTTCTCTCACCATGTTACCTAGCCTATAAATTGTCTATATAATATAGCATTTTTTTGAGGTACAACTCGTTTTGAGGAATCATTTCCTTGAGGGTAAAATGAATTTTTATTTATATTTTTTCATCTGACATACCCCAAAAGTTTTTCCACACTATGACATCTAGCCTATAAATTGCCTCTATCATAGAGTATTTTTTTTAAGGTATAACTTGTTTTGGGGAATCATTTCCTTGGGGGTGAAAATGAAATGAATTTTTATTTATATTTCGTATCTGCCCACCAGCAGAAGCTTTCTCTCACCATGTCACCTAGCCTATAAACTGTCTCTATAATAGAGCATTTTTTTGAGGTACAACTCGTTTTGAGGAATCATTTTCTTGGGAGCGAAAAAGAATTTTTTATCTGCCACCCCTTCGCAAGCTTTCTCACAAAAACATGATATCTCAATTTCTAAATTTTACAATACTTCCTCGCTGGTTTTGGCATGCAAAGTAAAATGTCGATGTCTCATCAGTTTTTTGCATTCACCAACTCTGCTTTTGTCTTTAGTTTTTTGTTAAATATATTTCGACAACTAAAATAAACAACCGTTCCTTTTATGCTTGTATCGTTAGCTATTTGCGATGTATGGAATACAAGCGCCTTGGGTGCCATGCGAGAGCTGCCATGCCTGCAACCGGAACTATTCAGGATATAAAAGTGCTGAAACCTCACAACCATCCACCGGACTACGCTGCCGAAGAGAAGATTGTCTTCGTGAGGGAACTCAAAACGGTGGCACTGAAGAATCCCAACGTACCCATTCGGACTATTTATACTACTCTATCAGAAGTGTAAGTATAGTCACTTCACGGTCCAATGTATAGTATTTCCTTGAGGATGTCTTATATAGGGTGTAAACGAGATGGTAATCAGTATTGAAATAGGTCAAAACTAGTCAAACAGTTCATATGACCCATGGTAGAAAAGTCAAAAGGTTTTTGTCTAAATGGCTTTATTCTTATTATAATTTTTATAATGTAATCTAAAACGTTTAAATTGGGTAATTAGCAAATAAATGGCATTAAGTTTTTCTAAGTTAAGCCAAAATCTGTAGTCAGTAAGTAAGTTTCATTAAATTGAATATTTAAAACACACATGACAACAGCGCGTCGGTCATCATCACTCTTATCGCACCGGCAATCGATCGCAAACGGTAACAGTGGTTAGTATGTTGTTTTGTTTTTGTTCGCGTACGTCGTCGTGTTTATTTACAATGTTCTCGAATCAAGAGTTCGGCGACATGTTGTTAGTTTACTGGCAGCTCAAATTTGTCCACAAGTTCAGCATTTTCGTAAACATGTGCCATTTTTTATTTCGTTTGAGTCACGCAACAAACACCACTATTCACTCACGCGTTACCGACTGACACATTGACTGAATACAACTGAATAAAATTGTAGTAAAAACATCGTGATAAGCGTTTCAAATTCTTTCGCTTTTTTGTTTCCGATGCGATGGACCGATAAGGCGGATTATATCCGTTGTTGCCAAACACGAGCACATAATATTATTATTGAGACAGTGCGGTACTCAAACTTCTAAAGGGCTATAACTTTGTTACTTTAATTTTACCAGAAAAATGTTAAAGGAAAAAACATTTAATTGATCAGATCTACTCACTGTTAAAATAAATGACTCAACTTCGAAGTCAAAAATTATTAAAATCGGATAAACGTACGTAGATATTTACCTTTTTTCGTCACTCTGTGAATTAGGATTGAGGATTTGAGTTAGCAAATATGAAAGAATCTAGGTAGTTTTATTTTATTTTCAGATATCCAAATGCTGCTAGAGAGCTACCATTCGAAAGAATTCGTTACAAGATGACTCGTTGGAAGAGATCTCAAGATTAATATAGGATTTTTTAATATCTAGCATTTTTATTACGTTTCATGTTTTTCTGATATCTGTTATGTTTGTGGATGTGTTCATGTCCGTTTTTTTTTTATTTTCTCGTTTTGCATGTTATGTTTTGTTGGTATTATCGATTGGAAACAATCTTTTTTTTACCAAGCATGAATTATTTATTTGCAACCGAAAGTTTACGTTCCCTCGATTTTTTAAAATTCCTATGTATTCATTGAAATAAAGGCTCCTTTTATGCTGCAAGCTCATGCATCATTTTATTACCCTTAAGCCGTCACATCCCTGTACAAGGGGTTTAGGAAAGTCCAGTTGATCACTGAAAATAATTTAGAATTAAAATTATTTTCTTGACGAAATCAGCATTTAAATCAGCAAATTCTCAGAAACCTGCAGAGAAGTATTTTTTTTTCTTTCCTGGGAGACATATTGTTATGTCGTTCCAAAATTATAGAATACTTTCCCAGAAACGTTTATTTATCAGAAAGATAAGCGAAATACTGGTAAGATACTATAGGAAATAATCGACATATAAAATGCAACACCCAGAATTATTTATTGAATTTTGATAAAAAATATTTGCTATCATGAAAGTATACGTTGATAAAATGTTGAAGACATTCCAAGCCGTACTTTTTTCGTAAAGGCTTTTTTGTCATATCAGGACCCGAACAATATCCAGTGATTTTTCTGTGTTGGTCCCATTTGTTTCATTGTTGTTTCATTGCATTATCACGCGCTAATTTCACTCAACTTTCCGAGTTTGAGAGTGGTCGGTTAATCTGTAAACACCCAGAATCATTTATTGAATTTTGATAAAAAAATATTTGCTATCATGAAAGTATACGCTGACAAAATGTTGAAGACATTCCAAGCCGTACTTTTTTCGTAAAGGCTTTTTTGTCATATCAGGATCCGAACAATATCCAGTGATTTTTCTGTGTTGGTCCCATTTGTTTCATTGTTGTTTCATTGCATTATCACGCGCTAGTTTCACTCAACTTTCCGAGTTTGAGAGTGGTCGGTTAATCTGCAAACACCCAGAATCATTTATTGAATTGTGATAAAAAAATATTTGCTATCATGAAAGTATACGCCGATAAAATGTTGAATACATTCCAAGCCGTACTTTTTTCGTAAAGGCTTTTTTGTCATATCAGGATCCGAACAATATCCAGTGATTTTTCTGTGTTGGTCCCATTTGTTTCATTGTTGTTTCATTGCATTATCACGCGCTAATTTCACTCAACTTTCCGAGTTTGAGAGTGGTCGGTTAATCTGCAAACACCCAGAATCATTTATTGAATTTTGATAAAAAAATATTTGCTATCATGAAAGTATACGCCGATAAAATGTTGAAGACATTCCAAGCCGTACTTTTTTCGTAAAGGCTTTTTTGTCATATCAGGATCCGAACAATGTCCAGTGATTTTTCTGTGTTGGTCCCATTTGTTTCATTGTTGTTTCATTGCATTATCACGCGCTAGTTTCACTCAACTTTCCGAGTTTGAGAGTGGTCGGTTAATCTGGTTACGTTATTTAGAGAAATCGCATTCCTTTTGTTTTTTTTTTCCTACAATGCACTGTTTTCGTAAAAATGAAAATAAAACAAATTAGATCTTTCCTGAAGAGCCGAGGTACAATTAGTTTCAAAATAAAATAGGAGGCCTTGACGTTTCTTGGGAGATCGTTTGTCGAAGTTATGTGTTATCCTGTTGTTATCGTTCCTACTACCATTTTTTTTTTGTTAAGTCAAATTTTATACATAGAAAATGTGTTAGATGATGTTACGTTAGACACGAGAGTACGAATGGATTGGCAGAAACGAACCCGTACATTGGCCTGCGAGGTCGCCTGATTTGAACCCCCTGGCTTTCACATTTATTGCATTAAAGCTTTATTATATTTATACAGGGTGCTCCTTAATGATTTGCGAATATTGGGGTGTGAATCTACGTGTTGCTTCATAAACTATGGTCCAAAAATGTTTCGTTACAAAAACTCGGGGTGTTGAAGATTTAGGAAAAAAATGGAAATTAATCAATATTTTCAGAACGCGAAAGTTAATAAAGTTGCATATTTTTCAATGCGAAAATAATGTTTAGCTTTAAAGAAAAAAATGGTACGCCAATGGTTTTTTGCCAAAAAAACAATATTTTTGAATTTCCCGTTCAATGTAAAACAAATGATCTCTATTGAATTGTTTTTTTTTCGATGCGCCATTTTTGAGTACAAAAATAAAAACCGTTCTAACTAACTTGCAAAATTATTATTAATCTCATTAAAAAAAATTAAACACATTAGCGGTAATGAACAACAACAACTGACAACATAAACATAACATTAAAACTAACGAAATAAGTACAAAAATGGTTGAAAATGGCCCCTTCACTTAGTATGAGCGCTTCCGCCCTCCTTCTCATGGAATTTCGCACTCGTTGAAATATCCCTGGAGTGTTTTTTATTCTATCATAGTTATTTGTAACAAATTGAAGGTAAAATTCGAAATATTGCGCGTTTCGAAAATAAAAATAGTGACGAACTATTTTATTTGAAAAAATCATGCCTCTAATCCCCTGTATCTCCGCCACTGGAGCACGTTAATGAGGATTGTTATTAATCTGTTTTGATAATTTATTATTAATTAAATTAATAATAATATTAATGTATTTATCTTACTGTAAATAACAAGTGAAAAAATTTTCAGCCTTATCAGTTGGACATTCCGGTTTTTATACTGCTTTTTTTTAATTCACTAACGCTCTAAAAATGAATATTTCAGCCGCAGTAAAGAATCAACGTTGGCGGGTTTTGGTTCTTGACATCCTTTACGATCGGTTACGATGCCTGTACGATTTCGTCAACTTAGTGAGTTTGATAGGGGCCGTATAGTGGGACTTCGGGAAGCTGGACTTTCTTTTCGGGCAATTGCAGTTAGAGTGCAAAGAAGTGTAGACACTGTGGTTAGGTGTTGTCAGGCATGGCTTCGAGAAGGCCGTACGCAAAGAGCAAGGAGCACTGGACGCCGCCGTAGAACAACAGACCGTGAAGATTGCCGCCTAAGATTATTGGCCTTAAGGCACCGTTTCTCCACTACCAGGTCCATTGCAAATGAATGGTTTGCAGAACACGGAAGACCTATTGGCATGCGAAATGTTTACCGACGAATGAGAAGTTTTGGCTTGTTTTCATACCGGCCACACTGGGTCCTCCTTTAACTCGAGAACACCGACGTAATCGCCTTGAGTGGTGCAGACAACGGCCACTCTGGGATCAGGAATGGAACAGTACTGTCTTTAGTGATGAGTCTCGATTTTGTTTAGACATGCACGATGATCGTGCCAGGGTTAGAAGGCGACGTGGTGAAAGGAGGAATCCACAGTTTTTTGTTGAAAGACATGTTCATCACACTGTTGGAGTTATGGTTTGGGGTGCTATAGCTTATGGTTCCAGGTCACCTTTAATCTTCATCAGAGGTAACATGAACGCGCAGCGTTATATCCACGAAGTTCTAGAACCCCATCTTTTACCCTATCTTGACACCCTGGCAGATCCAACTTTCCAACAAGATAATGCCCGACCACATGTTGCAAGAGTCACTATAGACTTCTTACAACATAATGATGTCGCATTGTTACCATGGCCACTAAGATCTCCCGATTTATCCCCAATTGTGCACGTGTGGGATATGATGGGTAGGAGATTGCTCAATTTGCAACGTCCTCCTCAGACTCTAGAAGCACTTCGAGAGGAGTTGGTGGTTGCCTGGAATGAGATACCACAGGAGGACATTGACCACCTGATCAGAAGCATGCCTAGGCGCGTTGGAGAATGCGTAGCACATCAGGGTGCATCCACACATTATTAAAGGTCAAAGGGCTTTAAAGCAGTGCAATCATTTTGAAATTTTTGTCATTTACTTATTATGCTTCATTAAGTAATTATTAAAATAAAACCATTCAAACTGGGTGTTCGGATTTATATGTCACTTAGTATAACTTGCGCAAATTTGCTGAATTTCAAAAACGAGAGAGATAAAAAAGAAAATCTGTGGTTGTTGAGAAAGGCTAAAAACCTATTGAATCCAAGTGAGTATTCAGAATGAAGTAGCGACTTTGGTGATGGGATGGAACACGGCCGCATCATCCTTGATCAGTACTCCAGCTCCCCACTTTCCAGGATTCTTCACCTTCATCAAAAACATCAGGATTCTTGACTACCTCGTCCTCCACAAGCAAGTGTACAAGCTGACCAGTCACGTTGACAACCTGCGCGTTTGGACCTGTTTGAAGAACGATTGTAACGCCACTTGCGAAATGAGAAACGGGAAAATCACGGCCAGGATAGGACTGCACGATCACGAGAATTATTCCAAGTATATTTCCACGATGAAAACACGAGGAAAATTGATTACAAGGGTTATGGACGATATCACAGTGGAACAGAATCATGAAGCTCATGTTTAGGATTAATATAAATAAAAAGACTCTATAGGTCTTCAAGGATTAACAAGTTATGTGTATTATTTGAAACTAGTATATTTTTGCAAGATTTTATGCAAATTATAAAAGCTACCAACAAACTACTTACGTCTCATAACTTTGTACCAAGATACTTCCTATGTTTGACAAGATTGATATTTTTCCATATTGTTTTGATTTTTATTTTGAAAACTGAACATTTGACGGATAAATAGGTTTTAAACGTTACTGAAAAATTTGATTGTCTGGTAATTGACGGATTGATTGAAGGATTATCGATTTGAAATGCGATGCCGTTCTTTTGATCAGTCTTGAAAAACGTATAAAACTAGAAACAACAGTGAAAAATACTCCATTCGGTTTTTTAAAAATTCCTATTCAATCACTCCATTTTCTTACCGCCATGCTTTTACTTCCTGCACCAATGGCGAGAAAGTATTGTAAACGCTTTAAAATTTCGAAATTGAGATATGTTTTTTGACTTGACTGTTTCATGACGTACGAAGAATACGAAAAAAAAAAATAAAAATCGTAAAATTTTTTTGAAATTTCAGAGGCTACTGATCATGTTCAGACTTTTTTTTTGTAGGGGTTGGAGGTTAGGGGTTGTAGAGAGAAATCGTATAATATTCGTATTATTTTCTTGTTAGAAATAGTTTTAAATGATATAAAATTGTGATCGTAAGATTTATCATAGTCTTTATTACGTTGGTGAAAATTATACAA